GACAGAAACAACTGCATTATACTGCTACACAACTTCTTCACAAGCAGGACATGTCGCACACTTTGGGAAGGTCGGGCTTAGAGCAACCATTGAAAGAATCTTATTTATTTCATCAAATCTAATGTTACATGTTTAAGGACACAGCTTTCACTGCCTTACTGTCCTGATGTTTAGTTCTGTAGTCGACTAAAAAACTGCAATAAATCAATTTGTAGGAAATCACTCCATCAATCACTCAAACTCCTGTTTCTGGCTCTGTAGTGACAGCACATTTTCCTCAGACTTATCTAGATCATCAAAGATCACACAATTCTTGTCTGATTGTCGCCGTCTCACACTCCCAGCATATGAATCCACTGCACACCATATCTGCTGACATCAAACCAGCTTCCACCTTGTGTCTGGGCGCTGGGTCGGCTCTGGTTCAGCATCCAGACAGACTTAGAACGAAGTGCCTTCAGCCACGCTGATGTAATCCTTGAAGTCAGCTGGGACACTGAGCATAGAGCAGACCTGCACAGGAGCGACAAAAAAGCAGTGAAGAAGAATGGAAAACACTGAATCGGTGACACTGTAGCCTCATCTGCTGTACACACAGAGGGAGACGAGGAGACAGCCGGAGAAACTACAGCAGAGGTGTCTTTAATTAACCAAGACCTGTGCTGCACAGTGTAACTGCTCAGCAAACTGCAGCTAGCCAGGCTAGCTGCAAAAAAACTCTTTTTTTGTCCAAATACAGAACAACCAACATCTCAGACTCACGGCTTTAAAACGGTCGTCCACAGACCAGTGAGTGACAGCAGCTAAAGTCTGATTTCATTTCATGTCACTGGCTCCACAAAAACCTTCATTCTGCTCAGATTAAAACAAGAAATCACGTACCTGTCTGAACTTAGCTCGCAGCTTCTCCATGTCATCCTGTAGCTTCTGAGACTGCGGATTATCAAGAGAACAGCTTTGGATCAATCCAAGGAGGGCGTCCAGTGCTTTCACACGCTTCCTGATGGCACACAAGTTGGATTGACAGCTGTAACATTTCCATACACTCCAGCTAAGAGTGATGACAGGTAAACAAATAACTTCTTTCCTAAGAAGTGGAGCAGTAAATACTTAAAATAAATACAAAATGCAGTTTGTAAATGAGGATTTCATTTCATAAAAAGAACACGAGTCAAACATGGTGTTGGTAGTGTGGCAGGCTGGGGCTGCTTTAGGACCTGGATAAAAATCAAGGCCTGAACTCTGTTCTCTACCAGAAAATCCTGAAGGACAACGCCAAATAATGCCAAACACAGCAGCACGTCCACCACTGGATGGTTCCAGGAAAAAACACAACTGTTTTGGAGTGGCCCAGTCAAAATGTGGACTTAGATTAAGATGCTTTGCCACGACTTTAAACAGGCTGTTCATTCTACAGCAGCGTGCCATACTCACTGCCAGTCATGCTGCAAATGAGTCATTGCAAACTGGCAAAACCTGCTTTTAAGTTTAGGAGGAATCATTTTCCACATAGGGCCATGTAGGTTTGGCTTTTTCCTGTAACAACTGCATTTTGTATTTTCTAGGGATATTTGAGTCAAGCGTTGACATTTGCCACACTGCCTCTGGAACAAAACAGCATGAACACTCACAGCAGCATCACAGACAAACAATGCTGGGAGCCTGATACACTCTGTAACCTGCCCTTCATCACAGTGCTGTGTTATCCGGGATCAACATGGCGATCACAGAGCTTTCACAGATGGAGAGCCTGATACACGGAGCCTGTACTAGCTGAGCTGTGGTGAAGCTGTGGGGAACGACAGGAGAATCGTGTTTACGGTCCTACCTTGATTTGCCATCGACGTTGTTTCGGAGGACACATTTCCACGTGGTCGCAAAGCCGTAATAGAAGGACATCTGTCAGAGACAACAGACAGTAAAGCTCTCTGAGCACCCGGAGCTTCACGTTGAATCACGCAGTTACGGGTTGTGTCCTCACCTCGCAGGACAGCCGGGCCCCGTGAATCGCTCCGTGTCTGCGGCCGTCCTGAAGCCCTCGGCGGGTCCCCCTCTTAAAACCTTCCCGGTAGCCTTCATCTCGGAACCTGCGAAACAACGAGACTGAGCTTCGGACTGGTACAGGAAGCAACATCTATTCAGAAACCCACCTTTCTTCTGCAAACACAATGCTATCAAACAGGTCGTCGTCCATTCTCACGTCGGCCATTGCTCCAACTTCCGGCTAACTCGCCGGAAGTTGTTATCTGACTGAACTCTGAACCCGGCGGCAGTGCCACCGCCAGGGTAGGAGGGGAAGTGTTCTCAGACGGTATGATTTTATTTGATTAGATTTTTTGCTTCGACAAACGCATAGAAATCAATAAAGCAGTTTCTCAGCAGCCTGTTTTCGCTCCTTTCAAAGATTCAGCTCCTTCAGCTCCCACAAAAGAGCCAAATCTTACATCTGAAAGCTCCCAAATGGCTGTTTTTAGTTTAATTCGCTGCTTCTAATTTAGCCTAATTTAGCAAAGATGTTTTGTGTGTTGGTGAGTAACCTTAAGTGTTTTTATAAAAGTTGTTCTTTTCATTTACTACTACTGGGGAGAACTTACATGTTCTTACATGGGGTTTAAGTCCTGTAATAAAGTTTGAATCCTTTTGTCTTTCACAATAGAAAATGACCAACAGTTACTGCCATCGTCTCACCCAGCTCCTAATCAACATCTGTAGCATCCCCGGTTGAAAAGAGGGTCTCTAAACCCGATGGTTCACATGGACCCTTTTATGAAACAGCCTTGTATGTGAACACACCGTGAGAGCTACAACATATACAGAATAAAAAAACCATTAGTAAATAGAAAACAGCATGTTACCTTTAACCTTTTGCCTTATTTATTAATCATAAATGAATTATGTTTACGTTAAATTAATGCACCTTTACATTGAGTGCTATTGCCATGTATATTTATCAAACCCTTCTAACATTAAGCCAGTACCGACCTTTTCTATACCATGAAATTAAAAACGACATATTACATCTGTCTTTGACCTGATAGACAGTCTTTGTTCACTGTTATAGGCTCTGTAACCAATGCTTTGCTGACTAAGCATGACACATTTACCAATGTGCCCTCTAGTGGGTGAAAACACATCCGTTACACTTAGTAGTGGTCAGCAGCTTTATGCTTTGTGAAATAACAAAGGACACATTTAAACAACAAAACTTTGATGCCAACCTTGTTCCCCCATCAACGAGGTGCTAATGAACTGTTTGCACTTCATAGCGGTCCTTTTTAACCTTCTCTTTCTCATTGAAACTCGCGCTTCTGCTGTATAGTTTACATCAACTGATTTACAACACGTTGTTGTTCTTTACCTTTCAAAGTATAAGCATTAGCCGTGTCCAAGCTGCAACAGAATAATAAGCAATTATGAACCGATTTACAATAAGAAAATATCAATAATGTCATCTACACTGGGGGCATAAAAGCACTTATGTTGTTTGAGTTGCAGAAGGCCATGGTATACCTGCAGTTTTTAGTAAGACAGTGGATGCTGTCGTGGACGTACTTGTCTCAAAAAGACTCAGGCAATTTTCACCAGCAGACAAAGTGCTTGTACTACTCCCTCATTCAAGCTCTAAGTTACTTGCCAAGTGACAAGAAGCCTT